AGCACAAATTATGAAAGAGATCCGAAAGCCAGGAAGAAGTATGTAGAATTAGTTGATTTCTTTATGTATTCCAGTAAGCAAAAGCAGGTCAAATTCACGAAAGCATATATTTGATTCTAGATTAGTCTTAAAGTACTATTTGAATTCTGTAAGATTTAAGTTTTTATTTAGCTGGAAAACACTGAATAATCTTGGTGCTCATGGTACTCCAGTATGGTAGACAGCAGGGAATCCAGCTAAAAAAGACTGTAGAGATGGAGTAGCTGCCATGACAGGGACCCAGAGTCGTGACAAATCTTAGTAGAACAGGTAACCCAAACAGATGGGTGAATACTACTAAATGCGTGAGTGTCGAGTTGACAGGGTGTCTTAACAAGTAGGACAGCCATATAGCCCAAAATTCGGTTCTCTGCAAGTCCCCTTCAAAACCTGTGTGTTTGTCAACTTTCTCTATACCACCCATCATCATGCATGAATTATGATAGCTACCTGGAGGTGCTTTAGCCCCAAACCAAAGTCATTAAGACTGTCGTGCAAGAGAACTCTCTGGGCACAAGAACTGAGTAGTACTGGCATCTGTTCAGGATATACCATTGTGATGGTATAGGGAAATGTCGTAGAAGGGTATTCAGGAAGTCGTAGCCTCTGGGATGGAGTTAGATGTAAAAACTTGGAACCTTTTAGGGTTTTCTCCTTCTGATGTGTTAAGAGTTATAATTTAAATGATAAAGACTGTTTGCCTGTTTCTCTGGGTGACTGCAGAGCTCTTTAATTCACCTCTAGGCTGGCTGCTGTCTTAGACTGGAAAGTTTTGGGGGTGGGCAACAAAAAGGTGCTTGGAAAGTTGTTTAATTTGGTGATGCATACTTCCATGCACACATCTAACAAGTAGGGCACCTGTTAACAGTGGTAACATTTTTGTGGGGAATACTTTTGTCTGAGTATATCTCAGTGCAAAAAAGCTGCAGGAGAAACACTGAGAATACAAATAAAAGCCAGTTAATTGCTTTTCCTTCTCTTGTTTTAAGAATATGAAAGAATCTTCACTTTACTGAAGCATGTGCAAGGCAGTTTACAAACAAGACTAATATTTTTACAGAATGTCATTAAGGAAGCATCCAGGTAAAGAAGCTTGTTTGTTAGTGAACACTAATGAATGTGTTTCAGTCTGTATATGTTTGAATGGCACTTGTTATGTACTTGGGTTTATGCATGCATTTAATTCATTGAAATGTGTGAGATTTCTCCCTCACCTCTTCCCCCTTTTAGCAAATTCAAAGTTGTTCATTGAAATAGACACATAAACCCTTGAGGGATTATGGTTCTTTCCTTTGTAAATTATTAATATTATTTTAAAATTGAATCAGTTTACAAGTAAGAAAGAAGTAGGAACAGATCATCTAGTATTTTAAGATATTTAAAAAAACATCAGTGATAGTAATAATTTTGTATATAATTTTCACCTACTTATATTTAGTACAGAAAAACATTTCGTGCTGTATATTTGGTGTTGTAGGTACCTTATTATACTTGATGCCCCTACTCCTCAAATTGTAGTAGAACACTGATTTTTAAATGCTACTACCAGTTTTCATTTCCATTTTGTAGGAACTTGCATTTCTTCCTTGTATTTATTTTTTTAACAGTTTTCAAAACGGACTAAATGGTACTACAGTAATTACTTTGGGATCTTTTACTATAATGTTTAGAATCCTTGTATATATTAGTATTTTTCTCCTTTTTATTTTCCTTTTTGGTGGTAGGAAGAATGACCACTGTAACATTGTTCTTAGGACTAGATTCATTCTTTTAAGAGAAAACTGTAATTTTGTTCTGGTATGAAGAATAATTTACAAATCTCTCGTCAAATTTTTACCACTTTATTTTGTATGTTTGGTACACATACAAAATAAAAAAAAAAGAGGTCAGAGGACAACTTTTAGGAGTCGAGTTTGAATACTCAAGTCATCACGATTCAGGGTTGGCTGTGTGGCTCATTATCTTCTGAGCTATCTTGCTAGTCCCCAATAATTTTTTTTTTTTGTCTTTGGGGAGGTAAGGGTGGAGACAGAGTTTCTCTGTGTTCTGGAACTCATTCTGTAGACCATGCTGGCCTCGAACTCACAGAGATCCACCTACCACTGACTCCCGAGTGCTGGGATTAAATGCATGCACCATGACCACCTTGCACTCAACAAATTTTTTAGAAAGTATTTTCTTTGTGAGATTATAATATTATGAGATGTCCCTCTTTTTCCTCTCTAGAACCTCTCATATACCCTCCTTGCTTGCTTTCAAATCCGTAGCCTCTTGTACCATTAACTGTTGTTACATACATATATCTGTGTGTATTTGTTTATATATTTTTTTCTTAAGTATATAAATATAATCTGCTTGATCTGTATAATGTTACTTGTATGTATGTTTTGAGGGCTGTGCATTTGTTACTGCATAACCAGTTGGTGTACTTTTGCCGGAGGCAGACTATTTCTCCTGCTCTCAGAATTCCTCAGTTGCCTAATTAGTTCTTTGTATAGGGTGGAGGTCTCATGAGTTGTGTTGGATTTCATTTTCATTCTACTTGAAAATAATCTTTCCCAAAATCAGTTTTTTTTTTTGAAACATGCTAGTTTATGTATGCTGTCCATTAAGAAGTAATTGAGAATGCTCTTATTTTTCTCACACAGGTTTAAAAAACGAATGCTAATAGAACAGCTGGAGAACTTCTTGGATGAAATTCACCGAAGAGCCAATCAAATCAACCACATTAATAGCAATTAATTAAAAGAAAATAGAATGTGGCCACTTATTTTACTGTCTTCTCCAAATACAAAGTAAATACAAGACTGTTGTAATCTTGCATTCATTCTTTGACATGCATTGTTGGCTATTTGAAATACTAAAACAGTCTACAGATCCTCTCCATCATTTTACAGTGACCTTTTCATTTTGGTTTATTTTTGTAATGTGAAAAGTATCACTAATTTTTTTTTTTAATTTAACAAACTAAAACTATTCTCCAAATCCTCTGCTTGTCATTGGCTCTTGCGTGTCAGTTTCCCTCAGGTTATATTTTCTTAAACCAACCTTTAAAATTGTCAGCTCTGTTAAGGTTGAACTTTGCCAAAAAAAAAAAAAAAAAAAAAAAGAAAGAAAAGAAAAAAAAATTTAAAAAGAAGTTACTTTGTAATTTTTGGGGAAAAAAAAGCACATACATTAAGAACTAGGTAATGTTTTGTATATACAGTTATTTTGGATATATTATTGTAAGTTGTACAAATGTATTTTGAAGAATATTTAAGAAAAGCACTTTTGTTATTCCATCAATAAATGCTCTATTTTACTCTTGTGTGGTTTAGGAAATAATCACATTTAAAGTAACTACTTAGAAACATTCTAAGACAATGGAATTTTAAAGGCCTTGCTTTTTAGCATTGAAAAATACACAACTTAATATTTGTTAAACTATTGTAATTATATGTTATATAACCCGCATTGTCTTTTTTACTATATGTTCTTAGTTTTTGTTGGCCATGCCAACATTCTCCACTCTTACTTAGATAATGGGAATGGTTATACCTGTGGCTGACAGACAGACACATTTTAAAAAACAACTTTAAGAGTAGATTACTTGAGGTATTCTTTGCACCCTTCAACCTTTCGCACAGAATTTGGATGACACTCAAGTCTAGCCACTAGTTAGGATGTGGTAGGTTTAGGGTATGCCACATTCTGAAATGTCTAGTATGTAGTAATTTGGTCCCGTGTCATGCTTACGTGAGTCTGTGACATGATTCAGAGGGGATCTCTTGGTTCTGACACTGAGGCTGTTATTTAGAAGATGGCTGTGTTCATTTTTTCCTCACTGATTTGCACAGGATAAGGATACCTGGCACTTCCATTTTCCATCCTCACAGGACCGCACACCGTAGAAAGGATGTGACCCAGTGTCCTGACTCATGCACACCTTCATCAGTCACTGCTGTGCCTTTTAGTGGTTTGGAGGATCCAATAGAAAAGATTAGGGTTTTTAGATTTGGAATAATTATGGGGAAAAAACTTCCAAAATTATTTTTTTAATTGAATTATTTTTAGATTAATAATATTTGGAAATCACATACCTTTAAAAGAAATTATAAATATTTATGAAGGAAAGCATACATAGAACATTCTTGAGATTTGCTATTTTAGTCAAGAGGATTTGAAACTCTCCCAATATTGAAGACAAACCCTGAAAAATAAAAAGAAGCATTTAATTTGACTTGTAGTATTTTCATATAACAATTCATTAAAACTATCTTACCTCTTCAAAATACCTGAAAGTAATTGAAGATATAACTTAGAGATGGAATTGTTGAAGTGATTCTCTGTAGTAGGAACTATACAAAATCCAGATTGACCTTTGGTTGTGAATTTGATGGGTTAAGAGTGAGATCAGTGGAAACACTGGAGTCATTTAGATAGGAGTTATACTTAAGTTGGAGCACCTGGGGAGCTGTCCTTGGAAGGGTCCTCATGTCACAGGCTGCTGGTAGAAAAATGCTCAGATCTTCTGCCTTTACTACATTATCCATTGTGAACCTTCAAGGGAGTAAGTAGTAAAATACCAGATTCTTCTGTCTCTGCTCACCCCCCCCCCATCTGTCTGGCATCATAATCTTTACATACTAATACTAAAACTTAGTCTCAAAGTTTGCCACCTATCAAAACTAAAGCTTAAAATTCCATCTCAGGCCTTTACCTTTTTAAAAATGGTGGGCAAGTTATTAAACTAGTGAAATTTCTACAGAATCCTTGTCAGCAAAGGTAAGCGTGGGGGGTATATTGTGGGGGCCAGTAGTTTTTAGTCTTTGAGGTCATAGAATGATGCTATGCTGGACAAGTGGTACTTTCCAAAAGGTTGGTATTAGACTTTAAGGGTAATTTTTCTTAGCGTTCTCCTATTTGTTGATTGATTGGTTAATTGGTTATATCAACCTAAGATTTGTAAACTCTTAACAGTGAAGGCTGAGGTTTTTTTTTTTTTAAGATTATTTTTTATTTTATGTCTTCAGTGTTTTGCCTACATGTATGTAAGTGCACCACATGTATGCTTGGTGTCTGGAAGCCAAAAAAGAAGAAAGTGTTAGATCCCCTGAACTTGAGTTACAGAATGCTGTGAGTTTCCATGTGAGTGTTGGGACCCGAGCCTTTATAAGTGAAGAAAATGCTCTTAACAACTGAGCTGTCTTCCATCCCCAGCTGAAACTTTATAATTCCTTCAGTAATGTCATCAGAACAGCCACCTTCTGGAAAGAAAAAGCCACAGGGACTAAGATTTGTGGTGAATTAGGGAACTAATTAGACCTGTATTTTCATTTTGATTAGTAGAACAGTTAAAAATTTATACCATTGAAATTGTGTCTTTTTCTAGTCCAACAACTTTACATGGTTTTTATACAGTTGAGTTTCAGAAATCTGTTATTTGTCATCTTATTGTTCTTTTTATTGTATATGAGCTTTTGCAGTGGCCCTTTTGTTCAAGGTTAGTCCTCCCTCTTGGTTTGAGGGCTTAAAACTTGTCTTTTTGTTAACTTTTTTTTTAAAAAAAAAAAAAAAACATACTCTCTGCTGCCTGGTCTGAGTGATCAGGGCCATTTTGTCTATTCGCAGTCACTGGGGTTGGGGTGACCATGGTGAAATACTAAGTGGACATTGTCATGATCCCCAAGTAAATTATTTTCCATGGAATGATTACCTACATCCTTTTTGTCATGAAATGTTCATTTGATTTCTAGCACAAGTTATGGCAGTATACAAATGATTCTCAGATAAAATGTTGACAATATTTCCTTTTAACAATCTGTGTTAAACTATGTTGATTTGTTTTTTTTTTCTTTTCCCCAAATAAAAGTAATGCCTGATGTTTAGTTAAAGTAGGTTCACCTTGGCTTAATTGTATTAATCTTGTTCCATATTGTTTTAAACACTACTGAGAATTGCCAACAACTCTTTACTGAGAATTGCTTCCTTCTGAGGCCAATAATTATTGCAGGAGAACAATTTGAGGGATAATAATAATTCAAAGTCTATTTTCAATATTGCTGAATTTTAGGGATACCTGCTTGTCCTTCTGTTGTGCTAGCTAGGCTAACCTGTGCCTCCCATTTTTGCATTGAGACTATTCTGTAGTGGTGCAGAAAAGTACTTGAGAAAGGCCAGCAAACAACATAGAAATGTGTGCATCCCTAAAATACTGTAGACTCTGTGTGACTTCTGTTATGTATCTTGACCTGAAGAAACAGTCTTTTCTAACAAGAAAGGCAAGATTTTATTGACCTGTGTTTTCATGATTTTTTTTAAGTTTTTAGAGTAGAAATCTACTCTTAAAAAAAAAAAAGCACTAGCTACAATTAAATAAAATGGAAAAGTAAAAGCCATGAAGGAAAAAGAGGTTCCTTTGTTCTGTGAAATAATTTCCCTTTCTCAGGATGTAAGACAGCAGCTGCTAAGAAAATACCATAGAAAGAACTAGAAGAAATAATTTGAAAATGGATGTGTAAAATTAGATTGTTAGGAGGAGGATAAATGTCTGAATCCAATTTTTAAAAGAGTCAGTACCTGTGCTATGTTCTCTCAGAAGAAAGATGAAGGGCCGATCTGCTTTAAAAACAGGAGTCCGGGACCGCCTCAGCAGCAACACAGCTGGGGAAAGAATAGACCCTGTCATGTTTCCTGGCCATGGCAAAGTACATGCAGATATAGATACATAGGTACTAACCTTGATTTGTCTTTAAGGAGTCAAAACACTTAGTGACATTTTACTGTGTGGTACTTTGGGACTGCAAATGGTGAAATTAAAGAGGAAAGATACTATTTAATCAATCCTGTGTCTCATTTTTAAAATATTCCATGAAGTAGCTTCCCTCAAAGGTAAAATCTGTATGATTTTATTCCTTGTTGATAGGGCAATGATACTTTTTACATCATTACTTTTCAAGATTTTGCCTTCTGTCATTTAAAAAAAAAATGTTGCATCACACCTGGTCTTGGGCTTAAGTGGTGTGGTTTACAACTGGAGTCAACTGAGCTGCCCCATGGTGCTGAGTGCCTGGCTTCTGGATGTACCTGTGGCTGCAGATGACCTGGTGCCCTCCTCGGAAAGCTCCATCTTGGCCTTGTGGGTTGCTTCAGAAACATAAAAGCTGTCTTGGCCTAATTTGCAAATGACAGAAACGTGAAGTGATTTGTTTACATTTTCTGTACATATCAAGTAAAACTTGAAGACTCAGTGCTACTAGTCTACAGGGAGTGGTTGTACAGAAAACTGCCAAGTCACGTTATCTTTCTACTACTCTCACGAGCTCTGGTCACTAGATTTAATCTGTCTTCCCCCAAATTAGTAGAGACTGAACCCATAAAGTTAATTTTAAATGTTAATATTAAAATCTTAACTTTAGCCTATACTTCTAAAGATAAGTAAGTCATTAGGCTCCCAAGAATGTGTTACAAAGTAGATACTGTCACCCAGGAATAAGTTCAACAAACTTTTAGATAGTTTCCCCTTGACTGTCCTCTTGGGCAGTAGTTTTTAAGAAGACACTGAAGATAAAAGTCATCGGATTATTTATGAAAATAATCCAGTGTTAGAAATGCCTGCTGCTGGGCTGGAGAGATGATGGCTCAGAGGTTAAGAGCACTGACCGCTCTTCCAGAGGTCCTGAGTTCAATTCCCAGCAACCATATGGTAGTTCACAACCACCTTTAATGAGATCTGGTGCCCTCTTCTGGCCTGCAGGCATACATGGAGGCTGAACACTGTGTGCATAATAAATAAATGTTAAAAAAAAAAGAAAGAAAGAAATGCCTGCTGCTCCACAACTACATTCTTTGGAACTGACTGCTGCTTTCCTAGTTTGCTTACCTTAAGGGCTGGAACCCGTAGAGAAGTGTGAGGTTACAGCTGTGTGTGTGTGTTAACAGTTTCAAAGATAAGCTTAGCAAATAGTAATGAGAGAACTTAGAAAGGGCTTGACAGATTTCTGTAACTGAACAATTCTCCAAAGATGAAATAATGTGTTACAACAAATGGTGAAGGTCGACATGCAGAAATAAGGCTAAGCTGCCCAGCCCTTCTGCTTGAGGGGAAGTGCTGATCTGGTATCACACACACCCAATCAGAATTGAGAATATCCAGGTTTCAGACCCAAAGCCCATTTCTACCCAATCCCCTCCATTCAAGAAACTGCCCTCTGTAGTACACCATCCAAGAGACTTGGGTTTTAACAGTCTTTGATGTAGGTAGGGAGCTTTGCACTTAGGTTGTTCTGCACTAGTCATGTGCACACAAGGAGATGGCCCCTAAAGGTTCTGTGAGACTAAAGCGAACCTAGGGTGCAGATTCTTGTGTGTCATTGCAGTGACACAATGGGATATCATGAGATGGTTATTCTCACTGTAAGGGAAAACTGGCGGTAGAGGATGGAAGGCGGAAGTCAGTGGATATTCACTTGGTGTCAGTGGAGAATCAGACTGTTTTCAGTGGTGGTCTTTTTCTGCTTGACTTTGAGAGAAGAAACAAGATTCTCTGTTAATAATTAGCTCCTTCTAGTCCACTGAACAAACGGTGCCAATATTAAAAAAAAATTCATAAAGAGCATCTTTGCCAGTTGAGGTTTTACTGTCTGACACGGTTACCTCTGTGTTGTCTGAACTACTTTAATATGATTAAACGAGTGCAACTTCATTCTGAAACCCCTTGTCAGATAACATGCAGCAAATCCCATGTCTGCATTGTTTGCCCCCACACACACCGGGTGTGAGGGGGGTCATTGTCCTGATATGAATGCCTCTTTGGTAAGCTAGGTTGGACTGTTTTGAGTGTCTGGAAAGGCAGATGAGTTGCTTAAGTAGCTTTTATCCCCACCAGATTCCAAGAATGACCAAAATTGTTTAATTGTTTGCATATCCGTAGCTGTTTGCATAGTCATAGCCAAGACTACTCACAGTATGCCACCAACGTCACATCTTTGAAATTCTCTGGTGAGAGCTGACCTTTCTGTAGACTGCTCTGTTTATCTTGTATTCAGTCTGCATTGTGCTCGCATTTGTCATGAGGCTATTGAAGTATTATGCCGCTCATGAACTAACCAGGAAAAGCAGAGGGGTTTTCCTGTCCTTCGCTTTTCTGAATTGTTGGCATCTGCTTTGTGCCATTAAAGGTCACAGCCTGTTTTTCCCTCAGAATCATGTGTAGGTGCTGTTCTGTAGCAATGTCTCCTTAGTTAATGAGGGAGATGCAGGTTAATGGAGCCCACGTGGTTGTGAGTAGGACACTTTCTTGGGACTGCTGATTTGGTAATGTTTGCTGTGAGCGGCTCCAGCAGGACTGCGGTACATAGCTTTCTACCCTCACCTCCCCTCTCTCCCAGTTTATTAGCTGAACTTTCTGGGAAGCACTTCCTAGCCAAGTATAAACATACCAGTGCCTACATACTGTTGCACAGCAAATGTGAGGGATTCTTCTCCCTCCTTCCCAGCATGCTGCCCATTCCTCCTCTGTGATACTGCCTATTCAAGGCTACCTACCCCCTTCCCCCCATCTTACTGTTAGCTCTAGCAAGTGGCCATTGTGGCATGTTCACTTTACTGCCTGGCCCAGCTTTCAGAGTAATGCTTAGTACTTGCACGTGTCAAGCGGCGTATGTATCCAGGACTAAGCACATTGTGGTCTTTGGCAAGGGTTTAATTCCCATTCCTTTGGTTGGTAGGTGCCATCATCCTTTTATATACAGTTGGTCACACATTAGTAAATCATTGTCTGCATTTCGTCCTTAACTCCTCATCAGGACAGGGATGGGACATTTGCTTCCTTTTTCTGATCGTGATTTCCTTTGGGAAGAACTTGTCGCTTATCTTTTCCATCCTTTAGGTATGAGAAGTGAAGGGTAGGTATGTAATGTACCACTGCAGCTGGCCCAAGACATAGGAAAGTGTCTGGAGGAATCTTGGGTGGCTCAACTAGCTAGCTGGTTGCTTTCTCATTCTCTGCTTACTGCTTTCCGTGCAATGTGGACTGTACTGCCTATGGCCCTCTAGACAATTGCCTTATTCAAATCATTGCATGTAGTTTGAACTTCTTACTGGACAGAAATTGGAAGTTGACTACCTGCTTAAGAAAACAAAGACTAAGATGGTTTTTAAAGAGTTTGAAATTTGTACCCAAGCAATACCTGAACTGGAGGTATGAGTTTCTATCAAAGCCTGCTGATGGTACCTAAGGAAGGGGATTGCCCAGAACAGGTGCCTACCCGTTCTCTTCAGTGAGAAAGAAACCGCAGCAACTTGATAACTTTGTAATCTGTAGAGACAAGGTGTTAGTGGGGACGGAGAGCTATATCTGGGCTCAGGTGAGATCTGGAATATTGAGTTTTTAAAATGCCAAGAAGGAACAGAGAAGTGTTTTACCCCCCTGGGAAAGGAGAATTCTAAGTGATTCTGACTTTGGAATCAAGTGGGGGGGGGGGGAAGAACTTTGTTGGGCTTTCTCAGTAATACAAAGTATGGTGACTCCTTGTTAATTGAAGAGAGATGGCTCTGTTTTTTCTTTTCTCTTGTAAAAACTGCAGATAGCACTGATAAGATGGCTCGGCAGGTAAAGGTGCTTGCCTCACAAATCTGATGACCTTGGTTCCATCCTTGGAAGCCACAGAAATGGGAAAGGAGAGAACTGACTTCACAGAGTTGTCTCTGAGCTCCATACTGTTCATGTACTCCTTTACCCCAGCACGCACACACAATAAAACTTTAATTTTTAAAACCAAGATTGTTCCATACAATTGGTGAGGTGGGTGGCAACTTCCCATTTGTTTCAGTGGCCTTGTCTCTGCTGTAGGCAGAAGCCCACTTGGGTACTGACGTGAGTGGTCTTGAGTTATGTTTAAAGACAGGCATCGGAAAGCAGTATCTTAGTTGGCAAGCTATATCTATAAAGGGTCAGGTATTAAATTTTTTTTAACTATCACCAGTTTTATGTCTGTCCCAGTGACTTGGCTTCACTACCATAGCTAGAAAGCAGCTTTTTGTTATTATTAAATTGTTTTTTTTCTTTTTTCTTTTCTTTTTCTCGTGTAACAGCTCTGGCTGTCCTGGAACTTGCTCTGTAAAGAGATCCACCTTCCTCTGCCTGAGATTAAAGGTGTTCACTACCACAGCCCAAAAGATTATTTTTATTTATTTTTTTAATTTTTTATGGTTTATTTAGCTTTATTTTATGTGCATTGGTATGAAGGTGTCAGATGCCCTGGAACTGGATTTTCAGACAGTTGTGAGCTGCCATGTGGGTGCTGGGATTTGAACCTGGGTCCTCGGGAAGAGCAGTCAGTGCTCTTAACCGCTGAGCCATCTCTCCAGCCCCCAAAAGATTATTTTTAGTAAGTAGCTCTTAATTAATAAAAGCAAGTGTTGTGCCATCACTTGACTTCTATATTATTGGAACAAAACAATGGAAGAAAATTATTAAGTCTCAGTAAAAAGCATGAATACAGGCCCCAAATTTATTAACACATGCTGGATTTTTAAGCCAGATCTGTGAGCCTTGAATTATATTGGTTTAAACAAATGTAAGTAAATGAATTGCATTAGATGTGAGCCATCTCATTGGTACTCATAGGACTTGGTAACAGGCTGGGGTGATGGGTCAGTTGGTAATGAGAACCCAAATGGGATTCCTTGAACCCATGTTAAAAAGCCAAGGGATGCGGTACATGCGTACAGTCCCAGCACTGCACAGGCTGGGAGGAGCAAGGGAGAAAGGCAGTGGAGTCCCATAGCTTGCTGCCCAGTGGAGCCTAATCCTAGTGAGAGATTCTGTCTCAGAAACAGTGGATCGCTCATCTTACAGGCCATGGGTATTTTTACTTACAGTGGGACTGCAAGCTACAGGACCACTACTGTTTAAGGACACAAGATGGACATTTGAATATGTCTTTCTTAGATGCTGAGGGAGAAAGACCAGGAATTATGAAGGAGCAACTGATTAATGCAAATGTTGTGGAAGAGAGGGCCAAGAATAACCTCAAAGCTGCTTTTTCCCCCTCCCTTTTGGTACCAGGTACGAAACCCAGCATCCTAAAATTTTTCATTCAGATGTAAAAGTAATGAAATTTCCATCAGCCACAGGGATGCCAGAGCTGGATTCTGAAGCCTTGAGAAGATGACATGCTTGCCCATTATTGAAGATAGAATGTGCATAGCTTGGCTGTCCCTTGCCCCTTGCCTTTGATCGTTTTGCTGTTATAGCTTTCCTTTCCTGTAAGTGTCAAAGCATTCCTCTTAAGAAGAAAATTTCTGGTTGATATTTTCAACTAAGCCAGCAGTATTGCCTTGTTTCTAATTGTATGCCTAGTATTGTGGACAGTAGAAAACTTTACTATTGTCTTTGTACATTTAGACAAAGAGGTGGTAGATGGGTTTTGTGTGTGTGTGTGTGTGTGTGTGTGTGTGTGTGTGTGTGTGTGTGTGTGTTGGAGATGGGACCCAGGACTTTGTGCATGTTCAGCAAGTACTCTATTATGAAGTCTTAGCCCAAAGATGGCAAATATTAGTACTCTAGATACTTCCTGCCATGCTTTATTGAATAAGTAACTTGCAGTTGTTCTGTCTGGTCACATCTAAAGCACAAACCTGGACTTGAAGATCAAACTCCCATTATTGTCTGCAATTAAGGAATATTCTGAACCAAGTTTTAGTGCCAGGTATTCCAATGACCTGGTGTTTAAAATGGTAACTTCCAAGTTCATCAAGTAAAAGCATTGTCTAGACCAATGAGAACATCTGTTGCAGTGTTCTCTCCTCACAGATAGTCTGTGGCGTAGGTACGGTCCAGGGCCTTATGAGTTGGCCGAAGTTGAGACAGTGGTTCCCTCAAGAAATTCTCAAAGTAGATGTTACCATTCCTTTTCTCTTGGGCGTGCAGTGTAAGCTCAGACTGCAGGCAAGCATGGTCCCTAGTGATCAGCAGTAGCATGTCAACTAAGGAAAAGAAGTTGAGCGTGGATGCTGCCTCTTAGGGCAAGGTCGTAAGAGCAAGGGAAATTTGAGGAATGGATGAAGGAAAGATTTATGCTTAGCTCATTACAAAAGGCAGGAGGAGTTAAAGGCAACCAGGAAGGGAAAGGGTAGAGACAGGATGACCATGATGCTGATGGGACAGCAGAGAGCAGACTGAAGGTTCCGGTGCTGCCTTGAGTCTTCATGAGAGTCTGGTCATGGCAGAGGGAGGTCTCTTCACCTATGGCCACTTGCTACACTATGATGGTGCTTTCCAAGTCCATGCTTAATATCCCCAAGGAGCACCCTTCACTCACCAAATCTAATCAGAACTGGACTGTTATCAGAGGCACCACATTCTTATAGAAAGCCAAATGCTTTATTCTTTTAGACAAGTGTTTTACTGTCAAAAGCTCTATGGAAACAGTTAAGGTCCTTTCATCAATATAACAAAACTGTCCCAAACATAATGCCCCCAAAAGATTGGAAGAATTGAAAAATGGCTACCTGAAATTCCTTTCAAGTTAGCTTTGAGTGGGTCAAAAAGATCAGTGATACCCCATGATCTTAAAATGCTTTTTAAGTCAAACTGGTTTTGGATCCGAAACCTGCAAAACAAAAGCCAACTATCAGGTGCCATTTAGAATTCACACTGCTCTCTCATACATACTACATGGAGGTCATAGCACACTGGAATTCACCACTCTGTGTTTTTCATTGTTCCTCCTCTTGAGTCATACCTGGGGCTAACTTGACCCCTCCGGGCTTCCTCCCAGCTTTGTCTATACTGCTCATTTGTGATGGCCCTGTTTCCCTTGACTGCCTTTAAATAAGTGTCCATCCCTCAGCTGTTATCTTCCTACTCAGATGGCCTGACTTTTTCAAGATGGTACTAGAGTTAGGGCCCAGGACCTCCTGCTTCCTCACCAAATTTTTTATTGCTTGAGCTCCACCCCTAGCCTAGTCACTCTGGTTCTTAAAGTCCAATTTGCAAAGTTGTACTCTTAGGGTGTCCAGACCAGTCTGCGTCCTATTAATATTCTTTATGACATCATAAGTGACCTGAGAAGAGAAGATACATCAGCCCCTGTTTATTAATAATATTTAGTGAGTGCTCACATTGTGGTAGATACTAAGATGAGAACTTCATAGAAATGATTCCATCTTCATATAATGGCTATTATTCCTTATGTAGTAGATGGAAAATTCAAAGCATTATGTATTTTAAAAAAACCTGCTCAAGAATGCCCTAATGAGTAATGGGGTGTCCCTCAGTTCAAATCCAGGCTATGAGAGTGTGGAGCCTAGCCATGATCACTGGGACTTCGCTCCTCACATTTGGATAGAATCTCAGACAGAATGGATGCAAAAACAGTAGCTCTAGTACCTTGTATAGCTTTTCTGCTGTGTAACACAGTTTCATGTTTGCTGTGTGCACTATGTGTGTGCCTTTGATGTGCAGCAGAGAAGGAACTCAACCTTGAACTGCCCAGACACCACTGAGAGCAGAGAGACTCAGCTCAGCCTTTCCCCAAGACAAAGCACTGATTTGCTGTCGAAGAAGCCTTCAAATAGACTGCTACTGCTCTTTATCTTTGAAAATTATATATAGTTTAAATGGTCTTTTGTATAAACCATACATAACTTTAGAAAAACAAAAAAAAAATCATGGAATTTGTCTTCAGCCCAGGAAACATTCTTTTTGAAAAAGCATAAATGCTGACTGTACGATTAACGCTATGGACCTGGCTTTTTAATTTGTTTCCTCTCAGCAGGAGCTTCTTTCCAGACCCAGCGGCAAGTTACCTCACCTCTATTTCCGTGTTATGTTTCTTTGTGCAATAAGCGTGACAGCGGTAAAATCTAAATAGGGTTGTGACAATTAAATGAGAATTTGTGTAAAGGGTTCGGTACAATGCCCAGCATGGCTAGGCACCTAGCGTTGTGTTTTGATTGTGGTTTCACAATAATATTAAGAAACCAAAGACGTGGTGGGTGAGGAAACTGAATAATGTCATGTTTTAGTAAAGTCAACAAAAGTGGCATCTGATTTCAGAAGATCCTAGTGGTGCTCCTATATGATTATATTATATTATATTATATTACATTATATATTATTCCAATGGTGCTCCTATGTGATTATAAAGGCAGAACAGGAAGGAAAGGCACGGTAACTGGAGCAAACAGCGGAGATGCTGCCTGCCCTGTAGAGAAGCTAGAGTCATATTTCATATGAACTCTCAACAACATAGTAGGGATTGGGGTGAAGTGAACTGAGTACAGTTAAATCCAACATCATATCAGTTCTGCCACCACCAAGTAGGGCTTAGAGAAAGAGTGCAAGATGTGTTTAGGCATGAAAATAAGATAAGAGCATGTTAATACAGATTACGTGCTCATCTCAACAGTTAAAGAAAAGGCTTGTGACAAAATCTAACACCTTTTCCTGATTAAAAATCAACAGGACTTGGGGGACGTTCAGCGATAGAGCACTAGCCTAGCCTGCTTGGACGTTACTACCGAAAACAACGACAAGTGATGCCCAAACAAAAAGCCCAACAAGCATCAAATAGTCAGCCAGCTTGGGACGTGAGGTGACTCACAATGATGAAGAATGTCTACAAAAATCCCCGCACCTAGCATCTTCCCTTCAAGGTTCCCATGTAAGATCAAGAACAAGGAGGGTGTAACTCTACAAGCCAGATCACATCAGAAGGGAGGTGGAGGCTAGTGATAGAGCCCAGTGGTACAGCACTTGCCTGGCATACAAGAGACCCTGAGTTCAATCCTCAGTACCATGAAAAAAAAAAAGTTGTAAAATAAAATATAGTTTAAAAGAGGAAGAAGTGACTCTATCTGAATTTGGAGATGACTTGGTCTTACTTGTAGAAAACACTGAAGACCACTCAAAAACCCTCTTAGAGCTCATTTGAGACACCCAGAAGCACAAAACTCTGTCAAAGAAACAACTGAGTGGAAGGAAGGCATCCCAAGCCCCCAGCCTGAGACACCCACGTCAGAAGACAGCACTCCCTGACTGGCATCCGTATCCGAGACATCCTCGTGTCTAATGCCAACTTGCTTGTTTGGGGCAGAAACTGGTAAGCTGATCTTAAAATTCATAAGTTAAACAGTCTCTAGGAAGAAGAGAACAAAATTAGGCTCACCTCCTGATTTCTAGGCTGACTGCTGTTCTAGGAGCCAAAGTGGCACAACACTACACAAATACAAGAATCTTCCCATAGAATGAACCCGAGAGTTCAGAAATAAGCCCATACATCTGGTATTTTTTTTTTTTTTTGATGATGAAGGAAAGAATGATACTTTCAACAAATGTATAGGATACTGGGCAATCACCACATGCAAACGCACGAAGACTTGGCCTCCTCCTTACACCAAATGCAGCTGACTCTCAAATAACATGGGCTTCGACTAACATAGGTTTTTCTTTTGTTTTTGGAAATTTTGCATCAATTTGAAAACTTCACAGGTGAACTATGTAGGCTAGAAAAATAACGCTGAAGGGGAACGCATGTCATGGATACATAGCACATATGGCTAATTTGGCATTTCCTACCAGAAGATATGTACAAGCTAAGCTTAGCATGCACTTAGAGACTGTGGCACGCCGCAGTTCCGCTCTTCCAACCCTTGCAAATGTGAGCAGATGCGCAGATGCTGTGTTGAGTCATGAAGGCAGAAGATTGACACCTGCGATTTACAGTGCATTACACGGGTGTGATCATTTTACAACCTCTTCCGCTGAACATCTGCAATACCCCCCACTGTTCCATGATATCATCTCTGTGAAGGTGGTCATAGAAGTGTGGACATCACTTATTTTTAACCATACATGTCGTGCACAAAATATATACGGTAGAACTGCTTGATAGTGGGACAAGAGCAGTCAAGAGCAGGCTATTAGTAGTATTTTTGAAAGCCAAAAATTACATGCAGATTTCCTACAGCAAGGAGGGTTGGTGTCCCCTGGACCTCAAGTTGTCACAGGTACAATAATTAATTCACAGTGGATCAAAAGCCTAAAGTAAGAGCGAAACCTATACCTTAAAATTCTTAGGAAAGCTAGGCATAGACTTTGAGACTTTAATTAGGCAATGAGTTTTAGGAATTACACAAAACAGTATCTCCTAGAAATGTCTGCATAGACAAGACCAGAACAATGGTGATATCAACGGACCTGTTACGATGGAAGGGGAAATTTTCTCTGGGTCATACCCCCAAGAAAAACAACTACAGGCAGCTAATGACTGCAGGTATGTGACAATAATGGTAATTTGAGGAGGGGTTCAAATGAGGGTAGCTGGGAGGGCCTAGAAGGAGGAAAGGGAGAGGGAAAGTGATGTTATTTCATTTCAGTTGAAAACACTGAAAAGAAACGCTTAAATAAAATACAGTGTACCCATGTACTAGAATATTACTAAGCCATTAAAAGAGACGAGATAGGTGAAAAAAGCCCCATAAAAGGCTCGCTGCGTGAACTATCCATGCAAAGAAAATCCACAGAGAAAGAGTAAAATAGTGCTTGCCCAGCGCCGAGAAAAGATGACTGATCAATGTGGGTCTCTTTCTAAGGTGACGAACATCTTCCAGAGCTCGGAGTCAGTTGGAGGTGTATCTCAGCTGATAGAGTGCTCGTCTAGCGCATACAAAGCCCCAAGTTTGATCCCCAGCACCCCATAAATCAACTGCCCTGGTGCACATCTGTGAATCCAGGATTCAGGATCCAGAGGCAGCAGGAGCAGAAGTTCAAGGTCATCCTTGGCTTCGTGAAACACGCTCTTTATAAATTATAAAATTTGTATTCATGGCTGCACAATTTTGTAAATAAACTTTAAAAAGGGGCATACAGTGTGTACTTCTTTATCTATTTATTCACTGAGACAGGGTCTTGCTAAACAACTGTGGCTGGCCTAGAACTCTGTAGACCAGGCTGGCCTCAAGCTCACAGAGATCTGCTTGCCTCCGCCTCCTGAGTGATGGGATTAAAGGTGTGCGCCAGCATACCCAGCTCAAAGAACACTTTAAAAATGACTTTTATGGGCAATATATCCCATCTAGAAGAGAGAGAAATGTCCTTCAGAAAGTGTTGCATATAATGGTAGCCAGCAGCTTCTTCAAAGAAGAGCAAAGCTCACTGTGTGTGTGTGTGTGTGTGTGTGTGTGTGTGTGTGTGTGTGTGAATTTGAATATTGCTTGGGTGTGTCCCCAAAGGTTCTTGTGCTGGAAGCCTGGCTCCCAGGGTAGTGGTATTGAGTCGGCAGGGCCTTTGGGATGCAGGTCTAACAGAAGGTGATGGGTCAGGACAGCCCTTGGGAGGTAAACATAGTTCTGCTGTTGCTTTCAATGGGAGTGGTTCTCAACGTAAAAGAGGAAGTCAGACCCTCAATCTCTCTCACATCCCTTTCCACCCCATGACTGCTTCTGCCACCATTTCATCTTCTGTGCCATGATGCAGAGCAGAGGAGATGCTGGTGCCAGGCTCTTAGATATATGGAAGTACATTGTATATATAATGTGTGTGTGTGTGTGTGTGTGTGTGGTGTGGGTGGGTGGGTGGAGAGAGAAAGAGGGAGGGAGAGAGAGAGCGCGCGAGAGAGCCGTGTACTAGGGCATAAACTGGAAATGATTTAGGTCTGGATTTAGACATATGCCTTGGACCATGGCAGACACAGCCAGATTTTTGTTTGTTTTAGACAGAGTCTCACTATGTACTTCTGGCTGACCTGGGCTGTTCTATATTCCTAAACATATTATTTTCTAGTTTCAGGCATCTATGGGCTCTTGTTCAGTGAAATCTATCTGATGACCATAGAGTACATTCTACTAAATGGAGACTCACTGACTTGAGCAAACCAGAGGTAAATTCTTACCCAAAAGCTGGCTGTGCAGTGGGTGGTAGCATCAAGTGCCTTTAAACCTGGCGCTAGAAGGCGGAGGCAGGTTGATCTCTGTGAGTTTGAGCCAGCCTGGTCTCCATAGTAAGGTCCTAACTAGCCAGGGCTACGTAGTGAAGGGCTGTCCAAAGAGAAGAGGGAGAACAACAAAACTGTGGCTGTGTCTATTATGGCCCAAGGCTTATGTCTACTAAATCTGAGCTTAATGCAGTTTTAACTTTTGGGTTTATTCCCTCAAGCAGGGGTTCTCAACCTTCCTATGCTGGGACCCTTAATACACTTCCTAACATTGTGGTGACCCCCAACTATAAAATTATTTTCATTGCTATTTCATAACCTTAATTCTGCTGCTGTTATGAATTGTGATGTAAATATCTGATATGTGGGACATCTGATATGAGATCCCCGTGAAAGGGTTGTTTGACCCCCCCACAATGGGTCATGACCCACAGGTTTAAAATCGCTGCCTTAAAAAGTTTACAACTAAGCTTTTTGTTTGTTTGGTTTTTTTTTTCCTTTGGTCTGGTGTGTGTGTATGTAAGGTTGCTTTTGTTTATGAAATAAATGGCTTTTATTTATCTAAAAAATCTCCTATTCGTTTTGGATTAGATGCTTGGTACCTTGGGTGACTGCATATATTTATCAGAATGGGGAGGTTGTTTAAGTCTTTGCCGAGGCCCTCTGACCTCCTCCTCTGTCTTGTGTTTTCAGGGTCGCTGTTGAGGGCCTGGGAGAATATATGAGTGTCATGGTCTCCTCTCTCTGTAGAGCTGAGTGTTTCCTGGGGAGGCCTCCTTCCATTAGCCGCTCCAGGCCGAGCTACTCTTCTCATGAGAGACGGCAGGTTCTTGGCTGGGCTGCCCTTTCTCTCCACACTGACTGCATGAGCTGTCTTCCCTCCCGCACTAATTAGCCCCAATTGCCACAAGATCAGGGGCTCTGGTAGGGGCCGAGCCTTTGGCTTTGAAAAAGGGGCTTTGTCTTGGCTTTGAGTTCATCTTGGCTCTTCGTTATGCCTGATCTCATCTTAGACCTGGGCCCTGCCTCCTTGGGTTTCTCCTTGTATTTTTTTTTTTTTTTTTTGTTCCAGGAGATGCACTTATTTTTAAGAGCCCGAGGGAGGGAGCCCTGCCAAGGCCTTTGCCTGTACCCACTGGGAGCCCTGGCCTTGGAGTGTGACCAAGGCCCCAAGTGGACAGGACTGAAGAATTCATGGCTGCCAGTGAGCTCCCCGACATCAATGCTCTGCACTTCGTGCTGACCTACAAAGCTATGCTGAGCCTTTTCTGGTTTCAAATTGCCGGACCAGCTCATCATTCGACAAACTCTAGGCAGAACTCTTTTGTAAAACAATGAGTTTTGCTAACGTTGTTGCTTTGGAAAACAAGAACACTATTACTATTTTTTTTCAATTTATATTTATATCTACTGGATTTTCTTCAAGGACTGAACCTCTCCACTTAGAACAAATGTATCTTCAACACAAAGATGTCAAGTCTTGAATTTACTAGCTAATAGAGACAGGGTCTCATGCAATTGCTCAGGCTAGTGGGGGATCACTCTGTAGCCCAGACTGGTTTTGAACTTGCTGATGACCGTCATCCTAACAATCTGGGTTTACAGCTGTTCTGCCATGCCTGGAAAAGTCTGGAATTTTTATGTCCTAATTTGGCTTCTAACTAGAATTACGCACATGCTTTCTCATTTACACAAGCCATCTTGTCTCTTTGGTTTGGGGGCAATGACAGCTGTACCCACAAGGGTGCCACCTTACACTTCTCTTATCCTGCAGTGGCATGCTTGCAGAGCAAGGAAGGGACCTGAGTCAGTTCGGTGAGAGTCATTCATTTCAGGAAGACCGGGGAAGTTAACTCAACTGTATGTGCCATGTTCTACTTTGCAGTGACTTTAGAATCGCCTCAGACCCCAGGGAACTTCTCCTTGGCCTAAGTTTATTTGACTTAAGCTAGCCCAGTGAGAGGATGGGTCTTGGAGTCTGATCATTTGACTCTATGTACAAGCCCTACTGGCTACCACAGTCATTCCCTTGTGAGGAAGGTGTAGCCACTCACCTGGGGAGGAACACATCCATTCTGGTTCTCTTCAGCCTGGTGGCCCAGAGGTGGATAGCTCTGGCTGTGAGGTGTGGCTCAATGCAGTCCAGAGGGGTGTCCTTGTCTTGCGGAAGCACCAGGAACAAACTGGCTGCTCTTCCCAGGTACATCAGCTCCAGAACGTCTACCCTGTGGCCAGCAGCATCCTGGAACTGGCCTAGGGGTTCAGTGGGTCAGGGATTAGCTCTGTCCCAGGAGTCAGAGAAACCAAACAATGCCACAACCTGGGGTAGGCAGACTTACAAGACAGCAACAGTAAAACAGGAAGGAGTCTGAGACTGGGAACTGTGAGGTGACATCAATGTGGGATTCTCCTCTGTATGCTGTGAATATGTTTTATTACTGGTTGTTGATAAAGAAGCTGCTTTATTGGCCTATGGCAGGGCAGAATATAGCAAGGTGAAAAATCCAAGCAGAGATAGAGGGGGAAAGAAGGCGGAGCCAACCAGGCGCCATGTAGATGCCCAAGAAGCAAGTGGTAACAAACCACAGGGCTCATGGTAAAGTATAAAATAATAGAAATGGGTTAATTTAAGATGTAAGAACTAGATAGAAATGTACCTGAGCCATTGGCCAAACACTGTTGTAAATAATATAGTTTTTGTGTAATTATTCAGGTCTGGAAAATGAAAGAACAGTCCCCAGTTACATGACATGGTCCTTTACTGATCCTAAAGCCATCTAAGATCTCCAATGGGGCCTTTCTCAAGGATTCACTGCAGCTGAGCCTGCTTGGACGGTGTCTTGAGGAAGCCTGTCTAGTCTGGGCTTATGGCGATTCAGGCTCTTCATGTTCTCTTGTCTTTAAAAATGATTTTTAATCCGCATTTCTTATGGAAACTCCCCAACTCTTGAAATACCACCCAGACCCAACAAAACACGCATCCTGACTGGATTTGGCTTGAGGACCGATCATGTTTAACTATGACCTAAACAGATAGGTCTCGGGATGGGCAGCAGGGAGTTTGTGGGCAAAGAAAATTGCAGGTTGAAGACAAATCCAGGCCACCAAGGCAGAGGGTGATTGCAGAAGGAGGGGACAGGTCAGGTGACAGAGTCCAGCAGGACACATTAAATAGGGGGGGGCGGGGGGGAGGGATTGGGTGCTGCTGGGGGGGTGGAGGGAGGAAGGTGGAGGCACGTGTGAGGTGAACCCATTGCAGGCTGAGGCTCATCCTTGGCATCCTTGGCACAGAGCATGCTGGCATCTACAGCACACATGAGGCCACCAGGCCTCTGCTGGCACTGGGACCCGCCCCCACTGACCGAGACTAGTAACCATAGGCAGGAGGGCCATACAGAGCAACGCCGTGTCAGAACCAGGAATCCTGTGGTCTGCAGGCCTTTTAGCCTTCATTTGGTCCTGGGTGGGTGTTAGCTATGCCATGAAAGAGTCTTCTAGGAGAGGTGTTTGGTCCAGACATTTTCAATTTCACATGAACATGTGCAGACTCAGGGCAGAGGCCAATGCCATGCATGATTTCTCTTCCACATCTGTGTCCTCAGCATCCAGATGGGCACACCATTCAAGGCTCCTCTGTCAGCCTCCTGCTACGCTGGACTTCCCTCCAGTCCACCCACAACCTTGAGAAAGGACCCTTCTGAAAACATGTGTCCATCCAATCCTGTAAAGCAGAGGCCACCTCCCTCTCTTGCCCGAGTTGCTGGTTTCCTCCGACTTTCTGAATGTGGACAGGACGGGGACTCACCATAGCTGACCTCTGCCACCTGATGCATCGCGGGGACTTGAAGGACGAGGCCGTGGGCACAGGTGAAAGGCAGGGTCTGTGAGGCCATGGAAGAGAATCTCCTTTGCCAGGTGCTTTGGAAGGTCATGGTGCTCACGATGGAGAGCCAAGAAGACACGGTGCCAGCCTCCCCTGACTGTGGGCTACTCAGGCTCTCGCCTGTAGATAGAAAACCTTGTTCTCTCTCTCTCCCTTTCTCCTGCTTCATGTTATTTTCAGTTTACCACAAACGTTTTAATTCCTTATGCTGCCAAGGGACCCACAGCTGCTAACTGGCTTTTAACTTATTGTCATGGAAACGGAAAGTGAGAACGCGGTCTCAGAGTGGGTCCCTGATGACTGCCCTCTGGCTCAGGGGCAGCGAGGCACCTTAGAACTTGAACCACAGCCTTCTTGCTAGCATGTATCCATTGTGGCTTCCTTGCCTGTTTCTAACAGGTGCCCAGAATGCCCCTGGCTCCACTGAGTCATGTCCCAGAGCTCAATAGGCGCTGTCTCTCCACGCAGACGCTTGCATGGTGGGGGGTTTCAGAACCAGAGAAGACTGCACTCTGCCACCCCCGCCTCAGAGCCCACTAATTGCTGAGCTGCGCCCTCACCACACCTTCGCTGGGGCAACTATGTTCAGAACGCAGCCTGGGAGGGCTGTGGTTAAAATGTCATGTAAGAACAGGAAGGAGCAAGCAGGACCATTGCTATAGAGACAGCTGCTGTCCTAGGCCGTCAACTGTTTAATAAATATACTCCGTTCTAGGTTCTGCCTAGCTGCTGGACAAAATCTCCCTGACTTTTTGTTGTCATTCTTCATCTTCCAGATGAGAGGAATGAGGCTCAGGGAAGCTGCTCACATACTGTTATCCACCCTGTCACCCACCAAAAGATCCCTGCTCTTGAATCTGAGCAGAGTGGCTTCATATGCATTGCTTCAAATGGCTCTACCAAGTCTTTCTTTTTCTTAAAGGGAAGCCAGGCCGGGAGTTGGAAACACTATGTTAGATTTTGAGCGTGTCCCCTGGCAGCCCAAGAAGGATACAGGGACTCACTCCTTAATTAAAAAATATTGTAACCATGTGTCTATGTGTTTGTCTCCGTATGGGTATCTGCACATGACAGCTGGTAACCCTGGATGCTAACCAAGGGCATCAGATCCCCCACAGGGGGATTAAAGGCCCTTGTGACCTACCTGGTCCACCCTCTTAACTGCCGAACCATTTCTCTGGTCCCAAGGATCACTCCTTATAAAGTAAATTGCCGAAGACAGCACCGAGCATGTAAAGATAGAGTCCACATGTATCCCAGCTTCCTGTTCTGTGTTTAAGCAACACTGGATCTTGAACATTCTCCATTTATCTGACTCTTTTGTGTGCTTACCGAGAATATGGTAGTCAAACTGCCTGGATCAGAATCCTGGCGTGGTGGCCCACGGGCAAGCAAGAAACTCAACCCTTGGTCGTTCAGTTCCTTCATTTGTAAAATGGAGACAGCCCCCCCCCCACCTTTGAGGATTAGTGGGTGAGTGAAATGGAATCAAATTTCAAAGAGCACTAAATAAATAAATAAACGAACGGCTAGCAGATGGCAGTGACTTCCACCCACTTCCTAGCAGTCACAGCACACGGTGGTTGCTGCTGATGGTTGGATTATGCTATGCGTAGAAACCTCCAATAGAACCAAGCGAAACTTACTGATTATAACTTGTCCTTGTGTGTGTGTGTGTTTCCTTAACCTGAGTGTCCCAGAAGCTACTTTTCTGCGCCCTGCTGCATTTTGCTCTCACCCAGGGTTAATTGTAGGCGAAAGCAGAACTTGGTGAGAAACGGCCTGCGGACAGTGTCATGGGACCCATCCCGTAGGGTATTTCCAGAGGTGATCGGCTTTGAGAAACACCTTTTGGTGTCTGTGTGCTTAAGTATGGGTGTACATGTGCGTGTACGTGTGTATTTCTGCTGGGGTGTGAAGAGGAGGAACAGAGGAGCCCTGAGCCAGCTGCGGTTGTTTCACAGACCATGTGTGCCCCTCAAAGGTTATCTGCCTTCTCAACTTCTGCTGTAACTCAGGGCATCCTGAGCCTCACCACGGCTTCGACAGAGGATGGGCAGCACTACTTCTTTGTAGCCCTCCACCCTTAGCCCTGCCAAAGACGATGGCTTTCCTTTACCTGTGCTCTGCCTGGGTGAGCCCCTCGAGACCTCCTCCGTGGTGGTGCTGTTGGGCTCACTAAAGTCGGCTGGCGCCAGACTGCTGTTGGTCCACCAGGAGACCTGCTCCACAAAGCAAGGAGACAGAGGCGTTCCGGTTTGCATGAGAAGAGTGCAGGCCAGCTCCATCCCGATGCCTTGGCTGGAGTTGTGCAGCGTGGTGTAAACAGTGTGCAGGAACTCCCTCACTCTCGGGTCTGTGAGGAAGATGTGTTTGTCAGGGCTTGCGCAGCTCCCACCCGCAGGTGGTCTCAGAAGCTGTGTCCACCCACAAGTCCCTCACTGGAAACGGCACAGCTACCTCAGTTGAAACCCACTGGCCCTGTAGCTTAGAAGTTGGGCAGAAAATATGCGAGATCCCAAACCAATCTAGATGGAAGTAGAAAAGCTGTGCTTTCCTGACTTCCTGAGTCAGGGGCATGGCTGAGTTCTGGAAAAGAGTGTAGCAAGCTTTTTTGTTTGTCATCAGCTCACAAAATGACACGGAGATTTCTTATTAATTATGAAAGCTTGGCCATTAGCTTAGGCTTGTCTCTAGTTCTTGTAACCTAAACGAACCTGTTTCTGTTCGTCCGCATTTTATCATGTGATTTGGTTACCTTTCCTCTGCCCTGTATGTCTGACTTGTTCTGCATCCTCTTGTCTCCCATGTTCCTAGATTCACCCTCCTGACTTCCTTTCTCTCTGCCCGGAAGTCCCTCTTCACACAGTGTCTGTTCCACAACAAGGAGAGTGTAGAGCTGGGGTATGGCAGGCCCGGTGGGTCATGATGGAATTTCTAGCATTAAGGCATAGAGTTCTGGGTGGTGTGGTAACCACGGTGGGCAGTGGCTAAGGAGCTGCGGTCCTAGTTAGGCTTCTGCTGCTGTGGTTAAACACTGAGGAGGAAAGAGTTTATTTCACCTTACAGTTTACAGTCCATCACTGAGGGAAGTCGGGGCAGAAGCTCAAGGCTGGAGCCTAGAGGCAGGAACTGAAGCAGAACCCGCCACTGAGTCAGTCAGTTAAGTTTTGCCAAGCCATTTACCTCTAGTGTTAGTCTGTGAGAATCAAATGACATACATTCAATGTGCATTACAAAACAGAACCCTGCCAGAGCTTGGGAGGTAGAGGCAGGCGGAGATCTGCGAGTTCCAGATCAAGCTACAGAGAAATCTTGTCTCAAAAAAAAAAAAAAAAAAAAAAAAAAAAAAAAAAAAAAAGCCCAAAACAAACAAACAAGCAAAACAAAACAAAAACAAACAAACAAACAAACCAGAACCTTTTCCCTGGGGCTAGACCACCTTTAGGCCTCTGTGCTAAAATGTTCTCATTAATTTACCTAAAATAATAATGAAAATGCTTAGAACCTGGAGCATTGGAAAACTGCGCATTCCCCATGCACCCAAGACGCAGAGAATCCAAGCTGGGTCTGACTCAAAAGCCTCCTCCCTGAGGGCTGGTTTTCACAGAACTAGAAGTTGCTATGCAAGCTTCCAAGGGAGGAAAGCAGCCAGCAGTCCTACCCAGCAGAACCACAACAATGACCAGCATGGTACGAAAATCCCAAAGGTGTAGTAGTGGCACGCATACCTTGTCAGTAACCAATAGCTGTCTAACTGAATTTAAGACCCATTCAGCAGGACGGGAATCATCCTCGGTACGGGAAGCCTCGCCAACCACAGGGATCTTAGAGGAGAACCTCCAACACTGCTTTACTAAGCCAGCATAGTTTCCAAATGCATTCCAAATGGTCCTGTAGTGCCCAGACCTAACTGATAACATCTGCGGCATGACTCCTTCACCCCAGGAAATACAGTGAGGGAGAGGTGGCTGAAGGATGGCAAGAAGGAAGTGGACCAAGTGATCTACCGTGAGACTGTCCCCTACAGGTGGCAGGGAAGATTTACCCATGACATCTCAACAATATGGCTGCCTGAACAAGGACAACACCAATAAACATACTAATAAAGAAGGGGATCTCACGGAGCCTCAGCCCTGCAGGCGACCAAGGAAGCTGAGAAAGGAAGAAATAGCCCTCTTTATGGAAGAGCATCCCCCTGATTGGTTATGCAATTCCAAGTGGTCAAGCCTTGAAATCATATATATACAAGTAACATTAAGTGGACTAAACAGGTTGTATTTATATATTTAGGTGTGTGTGTGTGTGTGTGTGTGTGTGTGTGTGTGTGTTTGAATAGAAAATAAAAAGAGGCCATGATTTCAAGATGGAGTAAGGGGGTAGGAGGTATGCTTGGGAAGGATTTGTGGGAGGAAAGGGAAGAGGGGAAAATGATGTAAGTATATTTTAATTAAAATATCAAGAATATATTAAAAGCTAAATCTCGTGTATTTGTGTGTTTGTGCAATGCTCACAGAAGCTGGAAGAAGGTGTTGCATCTCTTAGAGCTGGAGTTACAGGTGTTTGTGAGCTGTCTGACACGAGGGCTGGGAACCAAATTTGGGTCCTCTGCAGGAGAAGTGTGCACTCTCAGCTGCTATCCTATTATGGGCATCTTCCCAACACCTTTTAAAAGAGAGGCTGGGCTGCAGCAGGGGCTGGCACTGGTGTGTGGTTTTAAGCAGGGCACACAGCGCAACTAAAATGGAGAGAGTGGTGAGGAAGGCTCTGAGAGGATGGCCCATCCCTGTCCTTACGAACTGATGATGGTGGCGCCACGAGAAGGGAAAGCAGTGTGTGGCTCAGAAACTTATGGGGACTGTGGTCCTGCGATAGAATCCCTGACATCCAGACAAAGTCTAATGGGCTCTGCGAAAGCCCTGATTTCATCCTCCTCCTCAATCAACCAGTTAACCAAGCATCATGATGGCATCTGGTCTCAGAACGGACTCTCCCTTGCATCCCACCCAAACCGTCCTGACTTGTGTGAGTCTCTTCTGAAGGCTGAAGGGGCTGCCTTTTTTTTTTTTTTTTTTTGTATTGACAGTTCTTCTTCTTAATCATATCACACATAATGTATTCTGGGAATCCTCTGACCCGCTGGTGGAATCACAAAAACACACGGCACCCACCCCATCTAGAAAACACATGGCACCTACCCCATCTATAAAAACACACGGCACCCACCCCCATATACAAAACACACGGCACCCACCCCCATCTAGAAAAACACACGGCACCTACCCCTTCTACAAAACACATGGCACCCACCCCATATACAAAACACACTGCACCCACCCCATATACAAAACACACTGCACCCACCCCTTCTACAAAACACACGGCACCCACCCCATCTACAAAACACACGGCACCCACTCCCATCTATAAAAGCACATGGCACCCACCCCATCTACAAAACACACGGCACCCACCCCCATCTATAAAAACACACGGCACCCACCCCATCTAGAAAACACATGGCACCCACCCCATCTAGAAAAACACACGGCACCTACCCCTTCTACAAAACACATGGCACCCACCCCATATACAAAACACACTGCACCCACCCCATATACAAAACACACTGCACCCACCCCTTCTACAAAACACACGGCACCCACCCCATCTACAAAACACACGGCACCCACTCCCATCTATAAAAGCACATGGCACCCACCCCATCTACAGGTATTGCTCCCCTGAGACAGAGGGGCTGCCTTCAGAGTTCTCCTGAGCGTAAACCAAGCCCCTAAGCAGTCGTGGCCCTTACAGTAGGAGCACCACAACACTTGGTGTGCTGTGCTGTGCTGACTCTACTGGGAGCCTGTGGACCTGGGCACTTCTCTGGTGTATAACTGCTGGGAATGACTAAGTTCTAAACACTACCTTTGGCTTCAGTTGTCCCTAGAGAGAACAGACCTATTTGTTATCCAACAGGAGAGTAAGACTTGTTTTAGCAGTGGCCAGTGTATGTACAGAAGGGGACAGGCAGCTCAAGTGACACTTGGGAGACATGATGAGCCCTAACCTTGACTTGCCAGCTCAAGGGTCCACAGCGAAGGAGGCCATGGCCAGGCTGGGTTGGCATCATTTCTTGTACTTCTGACAAATCTTAGTTCATACAAAGACCATGCCTGTCATTTTCAGTGGCACGTTTATTGCTTTGAGGCAGGGTTCTTCCTACACAACAGAGCGGCCTGATCTGAGAAATCTGCCCCAGCCACTGCAGTAAGCTTTTAATTGGCATCCAGTTCTGAGATCGAGAAGGGAGGTCATGTTTGCCGAAGCCTGTAGTTGGTCGGGTATTGAGCTGCATCTGGAGTGTAGGTTAACATGGGCTGAACTGCGTGCTAAAGCCTCTCGCTGTCAGCAAAGCTGTTCTGAGATACACAATGTGTAGCTATAAGCTGGTGAGTTGAGTACTACCCAGAAATCACAGAATCGTGAAAACAGGCTGGTCAAAAGCATAGTCTTGGGTCTAAAGAGTTTGCACTTAAGTCCAGCCCTGCTCTTGATCGACCATGTGACCCCCAGCAAGTTGCCTCTACCCCGTGCTTATCTACTTCCACAAATAGGGGTGGCAATGAAATCACCGATCTTAAATGGTGTTGAGGCCATCAATGCATGTTTATAAGGTGTTTCCCACACTGCCCAGCCTCAACGAGCACTAGAAAAGGGGCAGTGACTCAAAACAGGGATTCTGCCGTGAGGCTAGAAGGGAGTCTCCACAGCCAAGAACAAACGTGGCTGTAAAGTCTGAGTACTTCCCACACAGCCGCACTTCTGTGCCCCTGCGTACTAGGAGCTGAGCTCCCCAGGCTTGAGAGTCCCTGAGCGGAGGGAAGCAGGGACCCCGGGGTGAAGAGGAAGCGTGGGAGAACAGCCTCTAACCTTGCACGGTATATCCCAGGGCACTTGCCAGCTCCCAGCCCGTGTTTCCCCGGGCTCCAAACTGCAGGATCTCTAGGGAGAGGGACACACTGGCAGGTGAGATGACAAAGTTGGTCCCGTTTCTCTGTGCTGCTGCGCTCCGGTAGAGGTGAAGGGCAAACTTGGTCTTCAGCAACCACAGGCCTTCGCTGAGGGGGCTGCCTCCTCCTGCCGAGAAGCAGGAGGAGAGAGGGAAGAGGGGGACCAGCAGGAGAGGCAGCATGGAGGCGGAACACCTGCAGTTCAGAGGGAGAAGCAGAAGGAGGGATGCTGGTGACAGCGATGGGAACAAGTCGCCTGGGAACTGGGGCACCCGCTCTGTTTCCAGTGGCCGGGAATGACCAAGGATGGTCTCATTGCGCTTTCTTGATTACCCACCATGATCCTACCTGCCTAGGCCGCTACACTGGTCTGGGATCCTTTGGAAAACTCAGCGACATGCTTGAAGATCTGCTGCTGTTACTCACTGCATGTGTGGCCTTGGGAAAGTCCTGATTATATCGAAACACACCACTATGTTGGGAAAAGAAATGCCAAAAGTGCTGCCTATTTCTTGTTTCATGGCTCGTAGTCTGTTTATGGCTGTGCCACGTTTGTCGTGAGTGGTTAGATCACAATCAAAGATTATCTTCTACGCTAACGAGAACGTACGTTCTGGGTTAATATTCTAAAAAGCATACTTGCCATCGCAGCTACAGTCCTGGTGACTGTGCTCTAGAGACTCCTCAGTCGGGAGAGAGTCACGCGGCTGTGACAGACCCCAGCCTTCAAGAGTGCTGCATGAAATAGCAAGAAGGCAGATGTGCATCCAGAGACTGACGCACGGGATAACTTGGCCTAGAATACTAGCATCCGTGTAACGCGGACTACTCCACAGGGAGGAATCAATCAAAAGAAAGCCCCCTCCCCCCAGAACAGGAGAGTGTGAGTAAGAAAGTCAGGCCAGGGGGCTGGAGAGATGGCTCAGTGGTTAAGAGCATTGCCTGCTCTTCCAAAGGTCCTGAGTTCAATTCCCGGCAACCACATGGTGGCTCACAACCATCTGTAAAGAGGTCTGGTGCCCTCTTCTGGCTGCAGACATGCACACAGACAGAATATTATATACATAATAAATAAATAAATATTAAAAAAAAAGAAAGTCAGGCCAGAAGAGAGCACGACCGGGGCCTTTCCAAGGCTACACCAGTGCACAGACAGTAGCCGTCTTCACTGAGTGCTGTAACTCTGGGGCCAGACAAGGCTGATGGGAGAGGGAGCACTTCCTACACAAGTTTCCTACACAAGCTTCCTATACAAGCTTCCTATAGAAGCTTCCAAGCAAGGCCCTGAGCCCAGTGCTGTTCACTTTAGATGAAGACCCAAGAGAAAAAGCCATGTCTTCCAGCCCTTCCTTTCATCGCCAAGCACAAATACCCACGACCTTGGAACCCAGGGAGTGAAAATTTGCAATGGGTGTGTGGCATGTGTCTGGAGAAAGTGGACTTTAGTCTAGGGTCATTACCAAAAGCTTTAAGTCCTACCTCGAGAGCTCTTACAGCATTGACGAACTCACCAAAACACTAGCAACCCTCGGCAAACAGACTTGGATGCCCAGGCTCCAGGTGAGCCAAGTCCTGTCGTGGCTACTAGGGATGACCCTCACACTCACCGGCTCTTTGATTAAGTGGTTCTTTCCTTGTTCAGTTCTGCTCTTGTGTCTCGAGCATCAACACGCTGCCCTTTTTAAAGAGTGGTGCAGAATGTGCTCTGAATCACAAGACACCCCAGGGAGGAAGCTGGCGATCGTCGCCTCTGCCGGCGATGTCTCTACCACTCGGTCCAAATTCCTGCCATGTGGAGGCTCTGCCAGGAGAAGCAACTCAGCTCCAGGCAGCAAAACCCAGATGAGAACAGAGTACGCCCTGGGGCCAGAGCCAGCCATGTCCATCAAACCTTCTTAGGCTTGTGACCTGGTTGTACCAGCAAGAAGCCCTTCATCTACCCCTTTATTACTTTGAAGAATTCCACGGTAACTCTGGGGTTTGCTGGGTGCCAGGTACCTAAGGCTTCTCCCCCTCCTCCTGGAAAGAAAACAATAGATTAGTCTTTGAGCATGACCTGAAACTCTGAACAAGTGCAGTGCTGTAAAGGAGAAGCCAGCAAAGCAGAGTCTGGTTCAATCAGGATGGAGCAAGACGGCTAGCCGGGCTCACCTGTTAGTAACAAGAGCAAGGGTACCTGCTGTGTCACGTGAGCTCTAGGGCAGGCCGCAGAGACAGCACAACAAGCCTACTCTAATCATTTGAGAAAGGGAGATCTGGTGGGGGCTCCTTAGTCTGACAAGTACTCGCATCCCTATAGTCAGTGGGCAATTCGCTTTAAGGTTTTATGGTAGACACTCAAGCCAAGGGCAATTTAGGTCTTAGGGTAGATACAGTTCTGTAGCTGCTTCATTAATTCTCTCCAGATCTTGAATTTTGATGTAGATTCGCTATTGTGTGCCTCAGACTTTAAGCCACAGTACGACAGGGCAAAGAAATGCTTTTAACTCCTGTTCAGTACCCACAGAAAGCATTCCATCCGTTCACACATACAAGAGACAGCTCCTGATGGTCGGCTGGTCCAAGGCTCTGGGCTAGGTCAGGGGACTGTAGCGTTGAATCAGCAATCTGAGCTTAACTCTCACATACTCAGTCTTTCTCTTTGTGGACGTTAGATGTTCATGCTGACAGTGTTAAACAGGGAGCTGCGGTCAACAGCAAACTCTTTCTTACAAGAATGTGCGGTCCTTAAAGCTGGACCTAATTTAGCAAAAGTTGGCTAATTGCCAATATTAGTATAAATTGCTGCTTGAAAAACAACATCTGAAGCTGGGCGATCTGGCTGTGTCATATCCGTGGATGTGATCTCCCGACTTTATGAATGCACCGTTCTAAATTGCTTTGCAAAACATTTTCATGAAGCAATGGCAGGGAAACTTGACTGCTGGAGATATTTTTCTGCATGGATTAAATATTTTGAAGTGAGGAAGAATTAAACATAAGTAGCAGCTGATTCTTCTTCAGGGTGTTCCACAGAAGCTGATGTCAGCATGGTCTCTGACCATGTAAAGAGATTGCGTATTGGCTTCCAATTTACCAGGATGGCTTGGCAACATTTATCCATAGAAACAAGCAAGGTGAGCATCACTGAGTCCACTCTGTGTTCTAGGAACTCTGTTAGACACTTTCCATTCACAGCTGAACATGGTGTGAATCCCCATGACAAATGCCATGAGGATATGTATTATTCCCATTTCACAGAGGGGAAAACGAAGGCAGAAGAATTCAAGTTTGTGCTGAGGTTTGCACCTAGAACTGGTCGTTTTCACTCTCAGGCTTCTGTTATTTCTCACAGCCTCGGTGATGTGTGTTAAGGGGCTGAGACATTGGCTCTTTGGAACTCACCATGGGATTCTAAGGTTTTTGTTAATCTACCCAGACTCTATGGGCTACTGATAAACTTCTGCTCTGCTTCCATCTCCCGGGACTGCTGCTCCGGGGCTGCACGTCTAGACAGACAGAGTGCAGGGTCTTCAAAGTGTGACGCATCTCCTCATCGCAGTCACCTCCCTGAGCCCCCTTCCAGGCCCCTCTCCTTCCCTTTGGGACTCACTGGTTCTCAGCCTGTTCCCCCACTAGGGACTCTCCAGCCAGGACATGCAGCTGGAAGACGCAGGCCATTTCCTCTAGTGGGCTCACTAGAGCCCTTGCCAGCTGCCTGGCTGGGACTCTATCATTGTTTTGCCCATCTTGAGACCATTTTGAGGTCCACACTCTTCCAGGGGAAACTTGTGTCGTGCTCCTGGACTGAGCCACTGAGGCATCAGATTGTAGTTGAGAAGCAGAGGATCTGAGAAAGAGGCTGTATCTCCCAAACCAGAAAAACAGGTAATCAACATTCCCGACCCTTGTATGATTAGCCTTCTGAAGGCTGTAATCGCTCCTGGGGAGAGAAGAAAGGCAATTTAAACAGAAAAGAAGAAAAAAAAAAAGTAACCAACAATCTAACTCCAGGTGTTCAATCCCAACACAGAAAAAAAAAATGAAAAATCAAAAGTAATGGTTCCTATTGAAAAATAACCTGGAAGAACTCTCAGAGAATTAAAAATAATGATTAATAACTATGGTTAAAAACTCTAAGACAAAAACAAAGAGAAGAATAAAACAAGATAGCCACTCTAAGACACAAAAATAGTTTTAATTTTAAGAAAACCCCAAGAAATGATGCTGGAAATGAAACACTCAACAACAGGCCAATTAAAAAAAATCTCAACAGAAAACTCAACATGCTGGTTAAAAATCTCAGTGGAAAACTTCAACAACAGAATTATCAAATCAGAGTCAGAGATGGAAAACAGGATAGGAGAATCGGAACACTCAGTGAAGGCCAATGAGGAGCAAAGAAAATATATATTTATGGGCTGGAGAAATGACTCAGAGGTCAAGAGCACTGGCTGCTCTTTCAGAGGTTCTGAGTTCAATTCCCACCAACCATATGGTGGCTCACAACCATCTGTAACGAGATCGCTGCCTTCTTCTGACTTGCAGTCGTACATACAGGCAGAATACTGTATATATAATAAATGAATAAATCTTTAAGAAAATATGAGCGGCACATGGAAAGGTTTGGGATCCATGAAAAGATATAAGCTCTAGATTATGCCCATAAAGAAGAAGAACGGCATAGCTAAGACATAAAAAATGTCTTCAGGAAAATCATAGAAGAAAAAAAATTCAAAACCTGGAGATAGAGATGTTTTCTATGTAGAGAACGGCCTTCAGAATGTGAAACAAACAAGGGTCAGAAAAGAAATTCTTCTTGACACATTACAATTGAACATTAAAAACAGAATAATGAAAGGTCATTGAAATCTGTAAGAGAGAAAAGTCAAGTTATGTACAAAGCATGCCCAAGAGTAGCATGGAATTTCTTGACAGAAACCTTTAAAGTCAAAAGGGGCTGGAAAGCTGTGTTTTACATCCTGAAAGACCACAGCTGCCACCCGGATTAACATACTCAGCACAACTATCTATTAGAACTGCAGGAGAAATAAAACTCTCTATGACAGAAACAAATTAAAGGACTTTATGACCTCCAAGTCATCTCTACAGAGGATATGAGAAGGAATACTTCAATCTGAAGAGGAGAAGAAATGCACCCAGGAGCCCAAATAATACCAGGACAGCTAATCAAAAGGGAGCCAAGGAAATATCAAAACTGTCAATAAAATGGCACATATTTCAACAATATGTCTGAATATAAATGATTTCAGTTTCCCCCCAATAAAAAGACACAGGCCAGCAGCTTGGATTAGAAAATAAGGTCTGTCTTTTTGTTGCCTCCGAGGAACAAACCTCACCATCAAGACAGCCATTACTTTATGGTAAAGGTATGGAAAAAGGTGTGCCAAACAAATGGAACAGAGACGAAAAATGGCAAAGCTATTTTAATATATGTCAGAATAGACTTCAAGCGAAAACCAGTCAGAAGAGACAGGGAGGGATTTATTAAAAGAAAAATCCAGCGACAGGATATTACAATTCAAAACATATGGGCAAAAAGCATGGGGGGGGAGGACCCAATTTTATAAATGAAGCACTGTTAAATATAAAGCTACAGGGGCTGGAGAGATGACTCAGTGGTTAAGAGCACTGACTGCTCTTTCAGAGGACCCGGGTTTGATTCCCAGCACCCACATGGCAGCTCACAACTGTCTGAAAATGCAGTTCCACGAGATCTGACACCTTCACACCAACGAACATAATAAAGTTAAATAAATCATTTTAAAAAATATAAAGCTACAGATTGATGCCAGCACATTGATAGTGGGGGATTTCAATACCCTACTAACCAATAGACAGATCATTTTGGGGGAATAAAACCTAATTAGAGAAATTCTGGAGCTATATGACATCAAAAGTCAAATGTATATAACAGACATCTACAGGATATTCCACACAAAGATGAAAGAATACCCGTTCTGCTCAGCAGTCCCTGGGACTTCCTCCAATGATAAGTAGTGATGTGGAAGTGTATGCCAGATACCACCCACCCCAATTTGCATTTTGTCATGGTGTTTCATTACAGCAACAGCAAGCCTAAGACAGATGCATACCTAAAGGACTCCACATCCTATTATAGAGATACCTGTGCTTCCATGTTCATTTCTGCTATATTCACAATAGCCATGACATAGAAATAGCCTGATGTCCATCAGCTGATGAATGGACAGTGAAAAGCTGGTATATTTACACAGTGGAAAATAATTCAGCTGGTAAGAATGTGAAAGTATGTGATAAAGCAGATACATGTGTAGAGCTGGAGACAATCATTCTGGAGTGAAGGAACCACTCTGACCCAGACAGACTAATATCACAACAAATGTCTCTTCTTTTATTTGCAGATGTTATTCTTAGACCTATAGATACGTGTGTTTTATTTGGAATACCCATAGAGGCCAGGAAATTATTAAGGGGTCATGGGGGAGGGGTGGGGAGATCAAGAGAGGGAGAATGCAGTGGTATAAATGGAGTAATCTAACAGGAAGAGTCAAAGTGAGGTTGGGGAGAAGAGGGCAGGGTAGAGAAGGGAAGAAGGAAAGGGAAAATTGCACACACACACATATATATTTGAATATATATATACATACACACACGCGCGCACACACACACACACACACATATATCCAAAATGGAACTACCCTATAGTAGAGTGAAAATGCCTCTAATAGACACCAAAGGCTAATGAATAAAAAGCTCACTGCCAGGAATGGGCTACATCTTTTGTAGTTGTTGGCTAGTGAGATCCTATAGATCCCCCAAACATTACAAACTTGCAAATACTCAGTTACTCTCTAGATATTAACAAT